TACTTGGGAGGCTGAGAACTGGAGGATTGAGTTTCCAGGCCAGCCCAGGTAAAAAAGGTCATGAGACCCCATCTCAATGAAAAAGGCTGGACTGGCTGTGGTGTTGAATGTCTGTAATCCCAGCTAAAATATTTTATGCTGTAATCCCAGCATAAAATAGGAGGATCTTGGTCCAGGTCAGCCTGGGGCAATAATGGGGCATAGGGGGGAAGGGGGGAAGGCGGGGATGGAGGGCTGGAGGCATGGCTCTCTACCTGCCTAACAAGTGGGAAGCACTGAGTTCAAACTTCAGTACTATCAAAGAAAAAAGAAGAAGGAGGAGGAGGAGGAAGAAGAAGAGAAAGATGGAATGGGCAATTCAGGTCACAGGAAATGAAGCAGTGACAAAGTTGGGACTTTAACAGAGCCAGTGAGAAGTTGCTCAGATGGAGGCTGGGTGTGTCTCAGCCCTTGGAGTTAGGGTAAGAGAGGTCCGTCTTGCTCCTTGTTCTTCCTGGTGTATCTCCGTGATCTCGGAAGAGCATCTGCTTCGCTCTCTGTGTTCTGGTGCAGCAAGGAAGAGGAGGGATAGCACCGGGCTGTGGAGGAAGGAAAAGAAAGAAACTTGGGGTTGTCTGCTGCGTGTCATGAGTGAACACCAGGTTGTCACACAGACAGTGAGTGATGTAAGTACAGTGAACATTTAGGAGATGATTGTATTTAAAACACACATTGTGGAATGAGATAAAGCCTGACACACAAGACTATCCAAATTTTTAATTTTTTTCCAATGAAAACCACTGTAGTAGTTGACTTTAAAACATGGTTCTCTCCTTGCTCACCAAGCCTGGATCCTACTCTTTCCCAAGCACACGGGCTGCCTGATCGTCACTTTGCACTTGACATGCAAAGTTACATTCTCCCTCTTCCGTCCTTTGATTCTGTTACTCGAAGTCAGAAGATCTAGTTGATCCTAGTATTCCTTCTGACAGTCACTGGTTTTTCCATAGTGTCCTGAATGGAACACGTGCTGCGGGTTACAGGTAACAGTCTTTCCTTAGTGTACTGTGATTTCTATGCAGAGGAAAGCTGTGGCTTCAGGCTTGACAAATTCAAGGGAGATGCTAAAGACACATTTGGTCACTTGCTTTAAAACTTGTCTCCAAGCTTCACTTGATGTGAGGCTGATCTAGTCCATCCCAGTGGCTTCAAGTTATTCCTGTTCCTGGATGACTTAGCCTAGATCTCATCTCCCATTGCCAGGTCTCCATGTCCAGTTCGAGTCCATTCTCTCCTCCAAGGACCTACTCTGCCCTGGTTCACCAATGGCCTTCATGGGCCTTCCCAGTGCTGGCCTGCCACCTCCATTCTGTGCACTTATTTACGGCCAGAATAGCTTTTCTGACACACACCCATTATTCCTCCTTTACTGGGACATGCCGTTTGTCCTCAGCCTCTAAGCAGAAAGAATCCAAAGATTAAACATAACACCTTCCAAATGCTTCCCTAACACCCAGCCAAGAGTAACTCTGTCTCAACTCTCCTCGCTTCTGCTCTTTTACCTTTTTTCCTCTTTAAGAGCTGGAAGGTTCTGCATGGCACCTGGTGCCGTCCTCACACCTGTATTCGCCATATTATGTTTCTTTCATCTTTTATGTGAGAGGCACCTGCTGTTGGTTCTGCCCCCAGTTGTGCCCGATCTCCTCTCAAGTCTGTTTTCTGTAGATGAGTGAGTGATGGTATCAGTGTTTTTAATGCTAGGCCCCTCAAATCTTTTGTGAAAATAAGGTAAAATAAATGCTCCATGCATGAGCTCAATTTAGTGATTGTGGCGAGCATTTGGATAAAAATACAGATAGCTATAAAACAGAAAGAGATTTAGATAGGTCATCCTGAGAGAATGAAAATATTTATCTTTATAATCTTTTCTGTTATCTACAGAAAAGTAGATTTTTTTGTTTCTTCGTTTTTGCAAGGGATTTTTCAATTTAAATTGAATCCATATAAAAAGAAAGTGCAGGAATGGAGACATGGCTCAAGTGTGCCTGTTTTGCAATTGCAAAGCTCTGAGTTCAAACCTCACTGCCACCAAAACAAACAAACAAACAAACAAACAAAATATGTAGTTTCAGAATTTAGCTTGCCATTAACAAAAAGCAAGAAGAGGATCCCACTGGGTCTCTATCTAGTATAGACTTGAACAGCTTACAGATTTGTGATTTTTAAAATCTAAAGTCTGATAAAAAACACATTTCTTGGAGAATGTCAGAGTCATCACATTTAAATTTATTACAGTTTAATTTCTAGTGTTGTGGTGATATCCTGGTTTGGGTTTTATCCTAGCACTAAGTGTCAACCAAAGGAGTCAGAAAACGAGCTAGCAACTGAGTCTTGTCTGGTGAGTAACCTCCTTCCAAACTTTCAAAACCAAGTCCCACAGTGCATTGTCTGTGATACTGTGGGGATCATGTCGTCATGAATCTTGTGATGAGATGTGACAAAATAAACCCTTTAGATCACGTGGTAGCCATGTGATAAACTTTTGAATGGTATTTGAAAAACATTTAAAATTGAAAACAAAGCAAAACATTGAAACCAGAATCTCACTTGTTAGGGAGTGGGGACTGTAGAAATTGGTGTCAACACATTCTTCTAAATCCTTGAGTGGGTATCCCTGCATCAGCCCCCTCCTCGTCCAATCCATCTACATCTATTAGGAAGATCTAGGTTCCACTTCATTTTCTCTAATTTTCTCTTTAAAAATCCACTTTTCGATTTTTCTATCACTTCCTGGATATGTTCCCAGAGAAATACGAAACCACATGAGCCCAACCAGCACTGACTTGAAGAAAAATTACTAGAAATTACTTTGACACGTGGCGTGGCAGCCTGAGACTTAGAATTTGGGATTTGCTGATCCACCTTCCCTTGGCCGAGTTGACAGCTATCCAGTTGCTGGGAAGATGGTATTGTAGCCTTTTGGGGGGATTTAGATTCCCCCCAAATGTGGCCAACAGAGTGATTAATTATGGAGTAGCCAGATTAGCAATTCTTATTGATTAAGCTCAAGAAACATCAGTGATAGCCTAAATATCCTGGCCACATAAACAAACCAGAAAAAATTTGAGGTGCAGAATAACCAAGGCTAAAACTGCAGGCTAGATTTTAAAAGCATAAAAATATCAAAACAAATACTAAGAACATGATAAACATAAAAGCCAGTGTTTGAATTTCAAGGTCAAGGGTACTTAAGAACAAGTCAGTTAGTCCTTGTTATCATCATCCTTGTGATGAATACAGACCTATCCTTTCTACATCTTGATACCTAATATTGATACATTTTTAGACCTGGGACAATGTCACCACAGGCATTCCTCATGAGTTGGAAATTCTCCCCCAGAACTCTCTCTGTATCCAAAATAAAGTAGGTTTTTGCAAAACAAAATTTCTCCTGTAAGAATGATGGAGGGGGTGAATTGAACTAAGATCCATTGTAAGCACTTTTGTAAATGTCACAGGGCACCCCCAGTACAACAATAACGTGATAATAAAAATAATTTTAAAATTCTCCTCTAAATGCCAGCATTCTTTTCATCTCTTTTATATTAACTCTAAAATACATTTTGTCCTTTCTTTACAGATCCTGAAAGCTGTCTTGTCAAGGTCTTTATCAGTCCAGGCTTATAGGAAATACAGGGAAGGAGAGAATTTAGACGTACTTTTTGAACCATATGACTGGTTGTCAAAGCCTGGGAAAGGAGTGCTATTAAAAAAAAAAAAAAGTGCCACCAAGAGAAACAGCACCTTGCAATTCTCAGTGAGAAAGCACTCTTTGTCCACTGCTTCACTAGCTCCAGGGAAGGGGACTGGGAAGAAGAAAGATGAGCTGTGTCTTGGTTCTCTGAGGTTACTTCTGTGACAGAGGTGTACTTATATCACATAACCAAAAACCACTAAGCCATCACTCGACAGGACCTCAGAAAATGGTGTGTTAGGCGGAATGTGATTGCATTCTTGTTAAATTCATATGTTACCCTAAAGTAGAACATAATAATACTTAAGGGATTTTTTTGTAGTAAATATACATTACATAAAATTTACTATTTTAATAATATTTAAGAGTTCAGTGACATTAAGTACATTCATATTGGTCTCCAATCGTCACCACTGTTCATCTCCAGTATTCTTTCATCTTTCTAAAAAATAACTCTGTTCCAATTAAATGACTCCCTGTTCCTGTTCCCCTATCCCCTGGTAACCACACTTCTACTTTCTCTCTGAAGTCAACCCTTGCAGGTACCTCCTGTGTGTGGAATCATGCAATATTGTCCTTCCTGCTTGGCTTATTCCACCATTCATCCAGGTTGTAGCATGAATCAGAACTTCACTCCTTTTCAAGGATAAATAATATTCCACTATACATGGATAGGATATTTTGTTCATCCATTCCTCTAACGATAGACACAGTTTGCTTTCACCTTCACTGTTGCAAATAATACTGCTATGAACATGGATGTGTACAAATATCTCTTCATGCCCCAGCTTTTGGTTCTTCTGGCTATATATCCAGAAGTAGAATTGCTGGATCATATGATATTCTCTGTTTAAATTTTTGAGGAAAGTGCCCAAGGGATTCTAAACATATTCATCAGTTAGACAAAGGATTGTTCATTGATTGCTTCATCTATGCTATGGAAATGAATGGAAGGAGGCTTCTCTCAAGAAACACAAGGATGAGGAACCTAGCCAACAGTTGTGTACAAAACTAGCTTTTGCATGCTGAGTTCAGTTCTGTAATAAGATACATCCTGGATATTATGTGTGTGTGCCATGGTCACAGTGGTCAGTGTCCTTGATGTTAAGATGGGTACCCTACCAAATTCTGGTTCCTAGTGGGGCATGCAGTAGAAAAATTCCAGTAAATAAATTTTTGTTGCATATTTAGTTTTTAAATAACTAACCCCATCCATCCATTTGTTCCCATGACCTCAATGTCCCTTCTTTATTTTTTCTCCCTCTAGTGGTTTTTAATTGCCAACAGATCTTACAAAGTCAGTGCTGCCAGCTCCTTCTTCTTCAGCGGTGTGTTTGTTGGAGTTATCTCTTTTGGTCAGCTTTCTGATCGCTTTGGAAGGAAGAAAGTCTATCTCACAGGTAATCTATTAGAATATTCATGAACTGAATGAGAGGATTTATCTCCCTAAGACTTTTAGGAAAATAATAAGGGGCTATTTCCCTAACGTTCCTAGAGAATTGGCATGTACACACAGAACTTTTTTATTGTACTGGCAAAAAACCAGACTACAGGCAGCACTGATTCTGGCCAAGCCATTTTCAGTGACTAGCCTACCTGGCTAAGGCCAGATATTTGTGTTATAAACTTCTTGTGAGTGACAGTGCTGTCTGTGACCCCTAAATTGCCATTTTTGACATATTTCTAAGAATAGCAGTGGAAGATTGCAACAGTCTTCCAGATCCATTTCCTAGTATCTCTCTGTGTTGATTTATTTCAAATGAGCTCTACAGGACTTGGCATAGCTCTCTTGACAGGCTGAGTCTGAGCGAGGATTTTCAATTTCCAACATTATTATGAATAATTGAAAGCTGTGTGATTGACAGAAATTGTATAACAAAGAAAGTAAACCTTAGTTTTTCTTCATAGTTTTCAAGAAAAACCATTAAGGAAAAAACATAGCTCAGAAAATTTAGTTTACAAAGGTTTATTTTACAAGCTAATGAATACAATTTATTTCTTTCACCAAATGCTGTCTTGCCTCTGGATCACTGAACATTGTTCTTCTTTTTCTAGGTTTTGCTCTTGACATCTTATTTGCTATTGCAAATGGGTTTTCCCCCTCATATGAGTTCTTTGCAATAACTCGCTTCTTGGTGGGCGTTATGAATGGAGGGATGTCTCTGGTGGCCTTCGTCCTGCTGAATGAATGTGTGGGCACCGCCTACTGGGCCCTTGCAGGTACTGCTTCATTCTGTGCAAATCTGGATATGCTGAGCGGCTCTGAAAATGCCTTGCAGGAAACTAGCTTAACCCTAGAGTCTGAAAATGGATTTAGACTTGAGGTATTTTATCCAATTACAGGTTGAATATCCTTCATCCAAATGCTTGGGGCAGGAAGTGCTTTGAATTTCAGATTTTAGAATATTTGCATATACAAAATGAAATGTGACCCAAGTCAAAATTCATTTGTATTTCATAAACCCCATACACACATAGCCTGAAGGTGATTTTACACAATAATTTAGTGTGTCTACCTTTTGACTGTGACCCACCACATGGGGTCAAGTGTGGAATTTTCTACTTGTGATGTCATGTCAGCTCTCAAAAAATTTCAGATTTTGGACATTTTGGATTTTGGATTACCAAATTAGGGATGTTCAACCTGTATGAGATTTGCCTTCCCGGGTGTGTTCTCTGTGGTGTCTGTTTGACATCAAATGAGTTGTTTACTCACATTCCTCAGTAGAAAGTCTTTTGAGGGCCTGCCACACAGATGGTTGTCTCTAGATTTTTAGGAAAGAGTCCATTTCCTCAGAACAGAATTAGCCACTTTTTACCTCAAAGTAGGAAGTAGTGCAGAGATAGGAAATGATAGAAACTTCTTTCTTGAAACCTTCTTATTATATGTTATTAAATCCTTGTTTCATGGCTTTTCTCATTTCTACTGTTTTGTCACTACACTGCTCCCTCACATGGTGGTGGGTTTTGATTTACTTCTGTAAGCAGCTTCCAGAACCTTCTGGAATAAGCTACTTCCCTCCTAGGACCAGTAAGAAATCTTCCTCTGAGTTTTCAACTTGTACTGAGACTTAAATGCAGTTTTCCTAAACAATGGGGTCAGACTTACTGAGGTAGCCCAAGCCGAGTGCACCCACGTGTAAGCACCAAGGAACTCTTCCCTTCAGTTTCAGGTGTACTGAAGTCCAAAATCTTGTTCGCATAGATCATCAGGAAATTTTCATGGATCTTTCACATTTCTTATTAAAATTATTATACTTGACTTTTCTTGTTACATAAAGATGCTCTTGTATAAAAGATGCATGCTAATTTCCCCTACCCCTGCCAGGTCATCTAAGGATTATCCCTGTCCTGTTGTGTTGTATATATTGGATGAAAAGAGAGACCTCCCGGTTTCTTGGTCACTTGCCAGTCACCTAAAGCCAGTGAAAAGATTCCTACTGAAGTGCTTCAAACTCCCATTCTTATCTTTGAAGCTGGGTTAAGATAAAGCAATTAAAATTTCTATAGCAAAGGAAAAAGGAAGGAAGGGAACAAAATGTTAACAGTGGAGCCAGAGACTTGTCAAATTCAGTGTAAGATACAGGACAGTGTGAGAGCTCCCTGAAGACCAAGGTCTAGACCTGGAACCCTTTTGTGAGCAGCTTCCCTCTTCCCTTCTTCCCTTCTCAGTGAACTGAGCTCTTCCTGTGCTTTGTCTTGGCCTTTCTTTTCAACCTTGTTTCTCTCTACTACAACTTGTTTTTTTTTTTTTTTTTTTTGGCTGTACTGGAGTTTGAACTCAGGACCTTGTGCTTACTAGGCAGGTTTCTACCACTTGAGCCACACTCTCAGGCACAATCCTATATACTCCCTTTGCTTCAGATACGCTCATGAGCTGTAAGAAGTTGGTAAGAAACCTAAATATTCAGCAATAGGGGATTCATGGGAAATAGCCTAACTGTTTAGCAGTGAAAAAAATTAGTTTGAAAATTATGTATGACTACTAAGTAGTCTTTGCAGTTTTACAAAATAGTGTGTAATGTATGTGCCTAAAAGGGTACAAACTGAAAACATCCATTTTTGATCAGTTGGCAATACAGTGCTTAATCAGAAGAATGAGGCTAGTTGAAAGTTACTGAGAACTGAAAATTGAAATAAAATACTATTTATATTCTCAATATCTTCTTATAACAAAAAGAATTGACGCACAAAGAATTGTCAAACACAAAGAATACACAACGTCCCTCCTACCAAGAGTTGACTACAGTTAGCCTAGCTCTGTGTACCCTTCCCGAATTCTTCCTGTGTGCATCTGTCCACAACACTGTTTTTTTCTTTTTTAACAGATCCTGCCATGTACCAGGCATGGCTTTTTAAAAGCGTGTTGGATAAAAAGAGTGGACAGGACAGGGATGTGTGGAGGAAGCTGGCATGGAACTTGTCCTTTCATTAGGAGAAGCACAGCAAATGTGAGGCAATTTCATAAAATTCTGAGGACAGGGAAGAAAAGGAAACACACAGTAATTGTGGGAATAGCTACATTAAATAGATTACCTGAGGAAACCTCAGCCTCTAAGACTGAGGCAGGCAAGGGCCTCTCCAAGGGCCTGAAGGATGCCTGTGGCTACAGGATAGAGTTAGGGGGAAGAGTGGAGTGACGTGAGATAAGGTTGAGAGGGACCAGATGACATAGGGCCTGTGATAAGTCAAATAGTTACCAGAAAAATGGCTTTGAAAATTGCCTCGGTTCTTGTGTCCCAGAGGGAGAAGAATTCCAGCAAGACACAAAGATTCAGTAAAAGTGATAATGAAATTGATTTAGGGAAGGATTATGCTTTCAGCAGGCTGAATGCTGGTTGCCTGTAGCGTGAGAACAGTGGGGTCAGGGAGAGAGAGAGAGACTTTTCCTGTCCCTTACACAGGAAATGGGAGCAAAAACTCAAAATGGTGGTCCTCATCTCTTAGTTTTATAGCAAAGAGCTGGGCAGGGGGGATGAGGGTGGAACAGTACAAGTGGTCAACGATAATGGGTTGGGGTGGTTGAGATGGCTGGCAAAACGGGGAGTGGTCCTTTTTGGCCTTTGGGGTAATTTCCTGGATTTGGATCATTGTCTCGTTAAGAAAGACATTGAGTAATTTGCTAGTTACTGCTCTAATTGCTAGAGAATTTCTGTTTGAAATTCCTAACCTTTGCTTATCTAGCTCTTAGCTCTGAGTCTTTCTTTTGTTAAATTCACTTGTGAAAACCTCCCTGTTCCAGACATAGTTGACGTTGAAGATGTGGATTACTCTTGGGCAAAGAGTGAATTAAATTTTGGGTTAGTGGCTAGCTTTGGAGCACCCTGTGATAGCCTCTGAGCTCTGGCTACCTGATCTTAGAGATTAGTGGATTTGGGAAGTTGAATTACAATGATTTCTTCTTGTCTGCCTCTCGTGGCCACTGCTTATGTCTACCTGCTACCTATCAAAATGAGGAATTGAATTTTTTTATTTCAAGTGAAGTGGGAGGCAAGTATTAAGTAGAGGAGCGATAAGACCTCATATACAGATGCCTACTCTGCTCGGTGTGAAGAATGGACAAGAGGAGAAAGTAGAAATTGAGACATCATTTAAGAGGCTAGGTTGTTAGCTACATGAAATCATTGTTGGATCAGTCAAGGTGGGAGCCATAAAAGAGAAGGAAGACAAGATTGAGGAGGGTGAGGGATTTTGATAGACCGGGACCTGCTGAGGGATTAGCAAAGGAGGGGAGAAAGAGGACTCAGGGAGACGTTAGGGCTTGTATCTGGATACTGGGTAGGTCATGGTGCCATTTACAGAACTACACACCAATTTCCAACATGCCAGGATTTAACTTTTACTAAGTGTAAATTGAGTACGAATAGAAGGCTTGAAATTAATTTCCAATAGCAGAAAATAAATCTGAAAAATAAACCATAAATACCCAAAATCCATAGTTACAAAATCACCCATGAGACTCCAGAATTATAATATGCAAAAAGGATTATTTGGAATGCTCCCTTTTTAATTAGCTAAACCAAATAACTTAAAACCTTATCATAGCTACAGCTCTACGTGTTATCCCTGCTGCCAAATATAGGAACATATATGTGTCACTTTTTCCTGGACATTAGATGTGACTGTTTATTGACCCCCTCAAGCAAATGGTGCTTTCTTTGAACCTAAGGTTGACATCATCTTCTGTTACCTCTGCCTATGTGACGTCATCACAGTATTTAAAGTCAGCAAACCAGATACCCTTTGAATCATGCCCTCTTGCCCTTCATTCATGTCCAGTTCCTACCAATTCTCACGGATTGTGATAGAAACTCAGTTCTAAAGAGTCTGCAGATAAGGGAAATCATTTGATTAACACAGCACAGCCACGTAGCTGGGTCTGGAAGATGCCTAAAACCAGGAAGTAAGATGCTTTTCCTCTCTGCTCCAATCCTGCCTAGAAGCTTCCTCTGCTTAGTCCAGGATTGGGCCCAGTAGTTCCAAGTCCAGTATTTAAAATCCTCAGGAAGTGCTCTAATTGGTCCAGCTGGGGTCACCCTTGCAGCTAGGGGAACTGTGATTGGCAGCCCTCACTTGAACTATGGAGATGAAATAAGATGGCATCAGTTCTTCAACAGAGTGAGGGGTTCTTGGAATTAGAAAATAGAGTGAGGTAGAAAATACTCTGAAATGGATGCTCACAATAGGAGACTTCCAGGTGTCTTTCCTTTCCTGCCCTTCCCGTTCCCTTCCTCTTCCCCTTTCTTTCCTTTTCTTTCTTTCTTTTCCTTGCCTTTATTCCTTCTTTTCTTTTTTCTTTCTTCCTTCTTTGAGTATTCATAAATGTAAGGAGCAATAGGGTGTTTTAACATTTATATAACATGCATTATTTCACCCGAAACTAATAAAAACTAGCCTTTGATGTATCTATATTATTATTATTATTTGGCGGCACTGGGGTTTGAACTGAGGTTGATATTATTTCTGTTTCACCAATGAGAAAACCGCGGTTCAGAAACATTTAATGACTCGCCCAAGGTCACACAGTAGCAAGTGGCTGAACTGGGGTTTGAACTTGATCCCTCTGAAACCATTCCATCTTCTGGGCTGTTATTTTCTTGACATTATTTTCAGTGGATTCTGACTGCTTGGAACATTCTGAGCAATGAGAGAAGCTTTACTCTTGGAACCAGGTGCTAGCTGATACACTATAATGAACCTGTAATAACTATTGATTATCTTAAGTGTCCAGGGAAATCACACTGTCACCATTCCCTCACTCATCAGATCATGCACTCCAGGCACACTAAGCTTGCCATCACAGCTGTTCCTTTGGCTCCTCCTTTCCTCATTAGGGTAACATTTTTTTGTTACTGAGTGAGAAGTAATCAGTAATCAAAGAAAATACTTGTTTTACAGGATTATTGTAGAAGGTTTTTGTAATAAGATCAACAAAGCCCTGTGGCTGTGATGCCCAAAGAAACGGCTTTTCCGTACAAGGGAGACAGGAGAGAGGAGTGGTACAGAGTGAGTCTCTCCATCCGGATAGACCTGGGTACCAGTCCGGGCCCTGCCACATACAGCACTTTGTCCTTAGACAGCTTCCCTTAGCCTCTCTGAGCTGTTTCTTCACTTCATTTATTTAGCTAACATTGGTACCTGCTTCCTAGAACAAGGTAGGCAAAGCCATTATGCTCAACAGATAACAATAAACTAGAAATGTAGTAAGCAATGAATAGTTATAATAGCAGTTATAAAAAGTATGTTTAAGATATAGAATGTGCAAGAATAATGGGCAAGCCAGTGCACTTAATCCTCATCTTAATATGTATTTCAAAAATTCTAAGGTTCTTTACAATTGCTTGGCTGGTATTTTTCTATCAGTGTGCTGACAAAAATCCATGCTTCAGAGAACTTATGTTCTACTTGGGAGACAAAGACCAGAAACAAATAAATGTAAAATGTCATACAGCTTGGGCTGGCAGAGTGGCTCAAGTGTTAAAGTGCCTTCCTAGCAAGCGTGAGGCCCTGAGTTCAAACCCCAGTACCACCACACCTCCCAAAAGAAATGCCAGATAGTTGATGATGATAAATTCAGTGGAGAAGGTGACGGAGAGAATTGGGAACGGGCTGTGGTTTACCATAAGGACTTCAAGAACAGCCTCTAAGATAAAGATTGAGGCCAGCGTCGCCATCATTGCATGGCATAAAGCTGTGTCAACCACATGGCAGAAACATCACCTAACCTCAGCCACTGGTGCAGGCCGATGTCCCTGCAACATTCAGTACAGAAAGCCTTAGGCCAAGACCTGAAAATCTATCTTGCCCACACGTGGCATGCACTTTTCATCTGTCCTTCCCCCATTTCCACTGATTTTCTGGCTTCCCTTGTAGTTATATCTGATGCTGAATACTTGAACGGAATTGTCTCATCTGCCCTGCCCGCGTAGGGCTGGCTCTGTGATGTGGGGTTGGACGTGGTGCTGCAGACTACGCTTTCTCTCGTGACAGTTCTCTTTTCCTTGCATTAGGATCAATTGGTGGCCTCTTCTTTGCTGTTGGCATCGCCCAGTATGCACTGTTAGGATATTTCGTCCGCTCCTGGAGGATCCTGGCGGTGCTGGCTAACTTGCAGGGAGCTCTGGTCTTCCTCTTATCTTTGTAAGTAGTTTTTCTTCTTGCAGTCTTAGTTCAGAAGTGGAAAGAATGTCTTAAGAGGACAAGGGTCAGTGAGTGGCGTTACTGCCTCTTAGGAGCATGCATGTGTGCAGTGACTTTGGGGAAGAGCTAAGCCTGCCTGCTCCTACTTTTGGCAGCTCCTAGGAAGAGAGATGCTGGTTCATTAACTCGCATCCCTTATTTAAAGTAATCTCTCAGGAGAGTGCATTTTCACTTTCAGATTGTTGGCATAGGAAACCGATTTCTTTGTGAGCCTTAAAGATCTTTGGGTTGGATGAGCCCATGGGTTAGGTGTATGGCAGAGGTGTGACACTGCAGAGCCAAGAATTCATACTGAGCTGGCAGAGTGGCTGACGTGGTAGAGCGCCTGCCTAGCAAGCGTGAGGCTCTGAGTTCAAACCCCAGTACCACCAAAAAGAATTCATACTGAATATGTAATGACCCTGCCCATCTGCAGATGAGTCTCATTTCAGGGGGTAAGGAGCTCTCTGGAAGATTCTCAGAGATGGGTGACATCTTTAGAGTACAGGGACTCAAAGCAGTACAAGGATAGGGCAGGGTTCTATAAACATCTGTCCTAAGTGTCACACTGAAGGGATAAACCACTGACTTCAAACAGTTTAACCAGAACTTTGAATGTGACCCATGCAAAGTTTTTCTTCCCTGAGATATCAGATTTCTAATTTTAATCACTAAAATTTTTGGCAAAAGCAATTATTTCCAGGCCATAGTAAGAGTTCTCTTCGGTGCCATAAAGTGGAGAGATCTGTGGTAATTTTTTAATCCAGATCACTCTTATCTTGAATAGCTCTTTATTCAGGTTCTGAGATTTGGTGGAGACCATGCTGAAATTTGTTTTCACACTATCTTTGAATGCAAGAGAATCATTAAGCACAGAACTGAAAACAGGAGAGTTGTGTTGAAGAAGCAGGAGTTGCATTAAAGGTATTGAGTTACATGAATTGGAGGAAGATGATTTCATTAAAAAGGAAAATCCTACAGTACCTTATTAGCATGGATAGTGCATCAATTCAAATGTAATAAATGGGTACCATACCTTGAGTTGATAAACATTTGTGTAAGTATTGATGGATAAATTAGTTTTCTTTTCAAACACTTCTCCATCCAGCTGACTCTCATCTCTCCTTCAATAATAGTGAGAATTCAGTGGGTATTGAAGCCATTGTGCTTTTCTTTTTCTGAGTGTGTAGTCTAGCCTGCCACTACTTTCCTTCCAGGGACATGAATTCAGGTCATGACCAATACAAGCAGACCAGAAAAGACACAGGAGATTCCTCCATTAAGCCCGAAACCCAAGGCTTCCCAAGCCTGTGTCCAGTGTGTCTTTTATAACTTTCCCCTGTTCCTCTTCAATGCCCTTCAGATTTTGGAAATTTGACTCTGAGTTAGTAAAACTATTTCTACTTGGAAAAGGTTTATCTTGATCATGCAAACTTAGAACCTTCTATTCCTGGACAATTTTGAGCTCATTTCTGCAAGGTTCTCTTACCTCCCATGGACAGATTTGGGAATGTGAGTTACAACACATAGAGATTATATAGAAAAAGCAATAAGGCATGATTTTAAAAGCAAAACCAGGCTTTTGAACATACTTCTCTCTACATGGTAACTGGGTCACTCGCACCACCATCACTTTTGGAAGCAAAATGCTCATTCAGCAATGTTCCTTTTGCTCAGAAATGTTCTGGGAAAATTCTTAAGGTTTCTTTGTAAACTAAGAAAGCACTTACTGTGAAAATGAGGATTTTTTTTTTTTAAGCAGGATCTTGCTATATAGTCCAGGCTGGCCTGGAACTCAAGCTCTTCCTTGCCTCAGCCTCCTAAGTACTGGGATTACAGGTATGTCACCACACCTGACAGGGAATTTTTAAGACAGGTAAAAAATATTCCTAGTAAATAAACAAAGTATGACTCTTTAAAAAACGTAACTTACCATAATGCTGCTTATAGCTAATTCTGAAAGTGACTGCAAATGCTTTTGGGTCAATGTTGGTCCATAGACACGGAAGAGCTACTGTGTGCAACACAGGAGATCTGTCTGATCATGAAACTAGGAACCTGCTGCTGTCTGAGGGCTCCCTGTTCAGAAAGACAGACAGGGCCCAGCATGAGGCAGAAATACAAGGGCCCTTCAAAGAGTCCGGGCTACTTGCTATGAACTCAGAAAAGAAAGAGAATGACTTGTAGTGGGGGTATGGCCAGGGAAAGCTTGGGTGGTGGGCACTAGAGTGACCAGTCCTGGCTAGTTTTAACCTTCACTATCACATCCATTCCTCATGTAGTCATCACGACTGTCTTCTTTTATGTTCTTTTGACTTGTATTTAGACTTAATCAGCTAGTTTTACACAATAGCTTGTGTGTGGCGCTGTGCACTGGGCCAATTGATCAACAGCTGACTTCCAACACAATGGTGTTTTGCTTCATTATTTACTGCATGTCAGTAATAGTAACCAAAGGGCAATGGAGGGGTGAACAAAGGATTTTCCACGGAGTCATAGATGGCCTCTGTCCCTGCTTTTGTTGACAATCAAATGTGTGAGATTATTCCCTTCCTGGTAACAGAACTCCTGGGAAATGCCCCCTCTTCCTCCCCCATCCCTCCCTCTCTCTCCCTCCCCCTCCCACTCTCCCTCCCTCCTTCTCTCTCTCTCTCCCTTCTCATCCCTCTCTCTCTCTCTGTCTCTGTCCCTCTCCCTCCATCCTTCCCTTTCCCTTCTTCTCCCATCATTGGGAAAGTCAGGCCTAAGGCAGAATCCATGTGTGTGAGGGAGTCCTGGTACTGAGTGGGTGTCTGCTTCCTCTGCACGTGTGCCTGTATGAATATCCAGCCTTTAATGACGTCTCTTTCAGATTCATTCCTGAATCACCTCGTTGGTTATACTCCCAGGGTCGACTGAGTGAGGCCGAAGAAGCACTGTACCTCATAGCCAAGAGGAACCGCAAGCTCAAGTGCACCTTCTCTCTAACACATCCTGCCAACCGGAGCTACAAGGAGACTGGAAGCTTCCTGGATCTCTTCCGGTACAGGATCCTCTTGGGGCACACTCTCATCTTGATGTTTATCTGGTAAGCATATCTAAAGGGATTTTGTGTGGGTGTGATCTTCAATTCAGCTTGCCAAAAAACTCTCTTGATAATCTATTCCTCCTTCAGGGTCACAGAAAATTTTACCTCTTGTGAACAGGAGGTCATTTTCCCACAAACAAGGCTCCTGTCTCTTAGCACCTGGTGTATACACACTTCTCAGTCGCATCTCTCTCAGGCATGAGGAGTTGGTGCCTACTGGGGGCGTTTACTGAATTTGAGGAGGTAGACATCAGAAACATCTTTGCTCATGAAGGATTTAATGTAAATATTTAAGGCCTCACCCTCAGAAAGGGGAGAGGGAGAGGCAAGCAGTCATATCAGAAACCAAAGCATTTCTAAAAAGACTTTAAGAATCACTACCTTTGGTTTTGGCATCAAACATTATTATCCTAACACATTCCATTCACAGTACCCTGGGCTACAGGCTTGCGTGGTGTTTGTACTGATTTGCTGTCTGCATGGCAAGCCTCTGTGTTCGTGGGAGGACAAAGGACAGTGACTTTCTATGACAGCAGTCTTAGCCATTGAGCTGAAAAGAGAATAGGAGCTGAGAAGATATTTTTCCCTATCATCATTCTCTTTTCCTACCCACATCCTAGCATGTACCCTAGTATCCTGGTATCCTATATGGCCAGGGGGCGCCATGTCCCACCAACTGCTACCTTCCTCTGCAGAATCAGCGCAGAGACCAGGTACCACAGAAATAGCACAAGCCTGGAGGCATGGACGTTAAGAAAACCTTTGAAAACAAAACTTGGCAACACAGCATAAGAGCTACTATCTTGAGCTCTTAACTTTACCTACTTAAAAACAGTATGTTCAGAGGTGGGCACCACTGGCTCCTGCCTTTTATCCTAGCTAAGTGGAGGCTGAGATCAGGAGGATTGTGGTTCAAGGCCAGCCCAGGCAAAATGTTCTTGAGATCCCATCTCAATGGAAAAGCTAGGTGTGATGGTGTGAACCTGTCATCCCAGCTACTGTGGGAAGTATAAATAGGAAGATCTTGGTCCAGGCCAGACCTGGCAAAAGCAAGACCCTATCTCAAAAATAGCCACACAGAAAGAACTGGAGGTATGGCTCAAGTGCCTACCTAGCAAGCACTGAAGCCCTGAGTTCACACCCCAGTATCACAAAACCAACCAACCAAACAAACAAAAAACAGTATGTTCAAGTACTTTATGAAACTGAATTTACACATCACATAGACAGAGAGTCAGACCTTCTGCCTTGGAGGAATCACCTGTTTGTCAAGGATTATTTACTGTTTTTATTTATGCATAAGTTTTCAATTTTTTCCACTTATACTAACTTCTAGGTTCTGCTTTCACAAGATAAAAATAAGTTGACTTAGGACCAGGAAGCCTGTCTCTGCTTATTTTATTTCTTACACAGCCAATGGAGTCCTTCTCAAATCAGCTTCTTCCCCTGGGCTCTCAGAGTGTTCAAATGTACAATAATAGAGTCAATGTCATCCCACTTGCTGCTGTTCTTTTCCAAGCTGTTATAGAATTTGAAATCTTTTCTGTGGATCTGTCACTGAAGAAAGCCGTAACTGGGGAGTAAAATTATACCTCTGTGTCTGACATCTGTTCCTTTGATTATTTTTCACAATAGTGCCTTTTAAAATAGTCATTGATGTCCTAAATATGCCGTTACATATTATGCAAGCATTTTAAATTTTATTTCGATCACATAAAGAGGATTGAAATGATTTTAATAGTTGTAATTATGAATCCCAATGACCAGTTCTGCCATGAAGGCACCTTGACGAGCAGAGGCCAAGCCTTGGGGAATGTTGGATCTTCTGTGTCACTCACCTTGGGCTGCTAACTAACTAAATTCCCTGTTGTTTATTTGTGTCCTGACTTGACACCATCCCACACTGATTTAAATAGGTGTGTTTTCATGGCTGAGATTACGTCACTGGAATGTCTATTTTAAATGCAGAAGAGACAGCACACACACACACACAGCTTGCATCAGACAAAGATTGGTCTTGCAGGTAGAAAACGTTTTTTAAATATTTTAGAAAACTGCATAGATTTAAATTTGTTTGGCCTTCTGCTTCTATTCAAGGTGCCTTGAGGACAGGGAAAGCAGAAACTCTGTCACTGTGCCTCCTTCCCTGTGACATCCTAGTTGCATACAGCATGGGTCTCCATGTTAGTGTACAAAGGACAGCTCTGTCCTACTAAGAAGTGAAGGGGGTGCTTCTGATCTTCTGCTCTTCTGCAGTGCAGTTCCGGGGGCCCCTCGGCCTCCCCCCACACCCCCGTCACCTCCATCTATTCTTAGTGGTCCACTTGGCCCTCTCTTGCATTTTGGCAGAGGTAGAACTAAAACTTTCTCTTCCTTACTTGATCTCACCATGGCCACAGCTCATTAGGCTTTTTCTAACAAAACGAAAGGGAAGTAAATGAGGAACTTCCTTTAATAAACCCTGGCTAAACCAAATGGCAGAAACACAAAGACTGGTGAACTTGGCAAGGCCAGGTGGTTTATTGCTTGCATAGGAATTTATGGTTTACCAAATGTATTCATATACTAGGAAAGTCTGGTTTCAGTGTTTTTTAAATTGTTTGTTCGGTTTTGTTTTTAATGCTGCAATTTGCTAGGCACCCAGGTTCCTATTACCACCTTCACTCTGATTCGGAGCCTCGGGTTGGCATTTTGGCCAGCTGAGCCCCTTGGTCTTTAATTGCCCTCCACAGGAGACAGGCACAAAGCCTGGCACATAGCTGCACCCAGGAGATGGTCCCTGAGCGTGAGTTTCAGGGATGGTGTGCATATATAAAAATATCTTCTCAAAGTGCTCTTTCCCAAAGCCTCTGTGTCTTTACCTCCCTACTTTGGTGTCTACAGACCCTGTGCACCTGCTCAATGCTGATGCAGTAAAGACCTAGGCTAGGAGGGGACTGGATGCTGGGAGGGTTGACGTGTCAGTCGTTTTGAGCTGCTGGTGACTCAACTGAAGATCTAATCACTTCGCAGCCCACATTCCCTGCCATCCTCTGTTGGGGTTCTCCATGGGTGGCTTTTTCTAAAATCACTCTGATGATAGCTCAACTGGTATAGGCCAGCATTCTATAAGTTGTTGAATTTTGAAATAAAATAAGAGCCATTGTTTTCTCTTCAATGCAAACATGCTTGAAAAAGCAAGAACAATGTCTTTCTTGTGTGCAGGAGCTGGGCGTTCAGATAGCCACAAGTCACTTCCAAAATCCCATTATGTTTTGTTTTGTTTCTTCTAGGATGGAAATTTAAATTAGCACCAAAAGCTTAGTGGGAAAGCAAACTTACGGCTTACAGTAGATTGAGTTATATTAAACAGTACTATCTGAACCTTCCCTGCAGATTCTTATGTGTCTTTTCTATTATTTTGTTCACCACCCGATCCTTTGGTCCCCACACCCTGCTGCAGGTTTGTGTGCAGTTTGGTGTATTATGGCCTGACTCTGAGTGCAGGTGACCTGGGCGGAAGTATTTATGCCAACTTGGCCCTGTCTGGCCTCATAGAGATCCCATCCTACCCTCTCTGTATCTACTTGATTAACCAAAAATGGTGAGTTTGGGACTGGGGGCGGGAGTCATGGCAATTAAAGTTCCTCTCAGGTCAAATGGTTTTAGATTTCATTTTCTAATGCAATATTTCTTGATTTTAAGTGTAGAAATTTTTATGTAGGTTTTAGGCCAGTGTTGAAAGGCACTACCATCTGAGGGGTTTTGAGTAGTCTGTGTGTAAATTGGTAGGCCCAAGAGATGGGATCATTAAGTCCATGTAGAGGGAACTCCATCAACTCAATTAATAGTATTTAGAAGTTCCTGTAAGCAGAAGACAGAACCAAGGGAGTAGGTCTTACCTCCTAAGACCTGCTTTGTTGAGAAGAAGAATACATTCCGCTTTTCCTACCCACAGTCAGAGCACAGTTTTGAAATATATTTTAACAGTTATTTTATAGAGCAAACTTTCCTCATTTGCTTTCTTTTTTTAAGATCACTTCTCTTGTTTAACCCTGCCTAAGGCAACTAAGAGTCTCGTGCTGTGTGTGCTAGGAATCGGTTGGATTGTGCCATTTCTCCTTCTCCAGAAATTATTATTCTAACCAAAACAGACTTCCCTTAACATGGCACTTCCTGCTGTTGCCATGATGTTTTAGCTGGGAGCATTATGAAGAACAGGTATGGACCCCGTTGCCAACATTGCAGGTGTGCCACATGCCCTTCTTGTGCTGCTGTCACTTCCTGTGCACACCTCTGACAACTGCTTAGTGTCACAAGGAAGCTAGCCATGGGGGTGGCTGTGTCTGTGCATCCCTGGTACCTGCTGAGCACGGTACATGCTGCTTGAAAGGCATTCAAGACTGGCTGTTAAATTAAGCAAAATGACCTGGAAGGAAACACTCCAGACCTTTCCTGTCTCCCATCAACCACCACCCAGAGTCAGGACTGAAGTCTGAAGCAGAGGGAAGGACGGTGCCTTTGAATTCTAGACTAGCCTTAGTTTTGTTTGTGACTTGAGCAATTTCTGCAGTAAGCCTCCATTTGGACTCACTTTCCAATGAGAGATTATAAAATTCCCCTGGCACATTTGCTGTTAAAATTACAAGTAATACTAAAGTATTGAACAGAGTACCTGGATTGTTACTGACCCCTGGAAAAGGAAGATATATTAATGTTTATATCTTTCTTCCAAACCTAGAACTCTTACTTGAAAGTTATTTTCACATATACAATTCCTAACGTACACAATTCCACACATACAATTCCTATACAATTCACTTAATGCTAAACCACTAACAAGAACTTTTTCCTGACTGTATTTTTAAGAGAAAGAAACTTTTTTTTTTACAGTGTATAAAACTTTCAAACTCCATAAGATTCAGGTAACTAGAAAAATGAAATGAACTAGCAGACTCCATTCTCTCTTTCCCAGCTTCATTCTGTAGAAGAGAAAGAATGGAACAACCTTTGGCTAAGGCTCTATTATGAGAATTAAATAAGATAATCAGTGGGAAGTATTTGAAACCATGCCTAGAACAACACTCTCAGTAGTGGATTGACCCTGTGTTCTTTCTCCATACTGTCATTTAATCCTGCTTTTAAAAAAATGACAGTAATTTATTATATTTCCTCATCAGTATATTGACCAGCTACATTTGCCATTCAGTCCTTCAGATGAAACTGTGGAGGTTTAAATAGAAAAGTTAGGAGTACGAAGCTGATGAACTTATGTGTAATTTCTTTCTATTATTTAGGTTTGGTCGGAAGCGGACGTTAGCAGGGTTTCTTTGCCTAGGAGGTCTGGCTTGTCTTATTGTGATGTTCCTTCCAGAAAAGAAAGGTATGCCTTTCAAATTTCTATGAGGGTTTCGAGCATCACTTTTATTACAATGAATCTCAATCCAGTGGAGAGAGTACCATATGCCTCGATTCATTTCTGTGATTGCATATTATTTAGCAGTTGTGTGGGGAATAATGGACCAGACTCTTTGCTCTGCCTAAACTATTCTCTGGATGAATAATGTGCTTAGAGGTGCACTATTAATTCTTTCAGGCTATTAAGCTACCATCTGGGGTGGCTGTGATGTAGCACTATGACATTGGAGTTGTTTATTTGGTGATGAGGAGTTCTGCACAGAAAGAAAAAGACATTTCTCATTCAAGCTCATCATGAAATTGGAGATCGGAGACACTGGTTCTCCAACGTGTCTCTGGCACCCCTCAATATCTCCATCTCTATTATCAAGGCACCCCGGTGATAATAACAGCAACAGCTATGGGAGTAATATTTACTGTTGGTCACAGTGGATGTGCTTTCAGTCATTTTAAAGTGTGAATAAAACACATCGTAAAGAAGCTTTAGTACTTTAAAATTTTTGTAGCTTTGCTTTGCAAATATAACTTCAGAAAAGGGACTTTCGAGCCAGGTGCTGGTGGCTCATGCCTATAATCCTAGCTACCTGGGAGGCTGAGATGAGGAGGATGAAGTTCAAAGCCAGTACAGGCAAAAAGTTTAAGAGATTCCATCTCAGCCAATAACTAGGGGTAATTGTGTGTGACTGTCATCCCAAGCTATGTGGCAAACTGACCTCAGGTGGGTTGAGGTTCTAAGCCAGCCAAGACCCCCCATTTCAGCAGAAAAAAAGCTGGGCATGGTGGTGAGCACCTGTCATCCCAGCTATGGTGGAAAATAATAGATCACTGTCCAGGCTGGCGTGAACAAAAAGCAAGACCCTAGCTATAAAATAACTAGAACATAAAAGACTGGAGGTGTGACTTATGCAATATAGCACCTGCCTAGCAAGGTTGAAGCCCTGAGTTCAAACCCCAGTACCACCACCAAAAAAAAAAAATATCTCTGGCAAGTGGGAGAGTAGAGATCTGGCCTAGCATACATGAAACTGTGGATTCAACCCCCAGTGGTAACACACGCACACACACTCAAACACACACACACACACGCATGCACGCACACATGCAGGGTGGCTCACTGTGGCAAGAGATTAGGAAGATTAAGATTCAAAGCCAGCCTGTTCATGAGACCCTATCTCAAAAATACCCATCACAAAAAAGGCCTGGTGGAATGGCTCAAGTGGTAGAGCACCTGCCCTAGCAAGTGTGAGGCCTTGAGTTCAAACCCCAGTCCCACCAAAGAAAAGAAAAAGAGGGAAAGAAAGTGAGAAGGTGGTGGTGGGGAGTGGGTTATAACAACCCTTTGCCACAGGGCATATAACAAAGTCCTGTTCCGGGGCCTTTGGGATTTTGGTTGGGCTCTGTGATGGGGTTTGTGCTCCAGGTGGGAATCCTTCATCATTGACGTGAAGTTTTGATAACTACTGGAAATGCATGGAGAAATCAGTTCCCATAGAATACATTGTATATTAAATATTCCTTGGTAAATTGCTGCTCCCTGAGGCTCAATCCTGCTGGTGTCTCCTTGGGGAGCCTCCAGGCCTCCTGTTCTCCCTGCTCCAATACACAGACTCTGCTATTGGTCACCCCCTGATGTTCTGTAACTTGAATCCACAGTGCAGGTTGCTCAGTGTTTTATCCAGTGTTTAGAACAGCCTACCAGTGATTTTCATGGAATCAGGGAAACTGGAGAATTCAGTAAAGTTTGCTCCTTTTTTCTCTCTGCATGTTGGGGCCTGTGCCAATGCAAGGCAAAGGCAAGTCCTCAGCTCTTGCCCTGCTGTGGGAACAAGGTGCCCTGTTTTGATTGTCAGGGACAAAAAATGACATCATAGCTCTATGCTCATCAGAGTTGGTGATATATAGGCACCACGGGAATTCAGTTTTCTTCCCACAGCAACCCAGTGTTCTGTTTATCATTTCATAGAGAAAGCTTCATTATTATTATAAACACACCTGTAACCCATCACACCTCTGCAAGCCAGGCTGGCTAATGTCATTCCTGAGCTGGCACACTCCAGACAACCCACCCAGTAGGCCTCTGTACATGGCCTCTTCTTGAAGTAATCTCTTATTGTAAAGAACGGAACGAACATCCAAGGTGTGTGCAGATGTCTGGTCTACCATCTAGACTGGCAAGCACCTCTCTGCTCCTTTAGATCTGCTGTAGGAGGGCAACTTGAACTCTTTACCGATCGTGCTCTGTGGTGGACACGGAACATGAATCAGTGAAGCAGGGTCTTTCCCACATCGCGGAGGTGCAATATGGTAAATCCATCAAACTTAGAAAAAGGGCACCTCTACTTTACTTTTAAAGGTTTTCTGGGAAAGAAGCTCTACAATGTCCCACAGTAAATTACTTCTGTTTTTAATAACTATTAGAATGGTCCTCTAGAAGGGAGCCCATTCTCTTTCGTTTTTTTGTCACTAGATGGAGAAGAACATGGTCACCTTTTTTTCTGCATCATTTTTCTATACATGCAGTCTTCCAGCTATTCCTGAGTCTTCTCCTCTTTGAGTCAAGGGATGTTTAACCTTAAAAGTTTCTTTAAACCATTCACATTTACTCTTTAAAATATTTTGTTGGCTTTCAGCCAGACACCAGTGGCTTAAGCCTGTAACTCTAACTGCTCAGGAGGCAGAGATCAGGAGGATCATGGTTCAAGACCAGCCCAGGGAAATGGTTTGTGAGACCCTATCTGGAAATACCCTTCACAAAAAAGGCTGGTAGAGTGGCTCAGGGTGTCAGCCTTGAGTTCAAACCCCAGTACCACAAAAAAAAAGTTTAACTTTGTATTTTCGGTTTTAATTTATATGTTTTGAAATTTCTGATAGGTACAGATTAAGAAAAAGACCGAAAAAGTTGAAAACTTCTCTTAGTGTCTTGTGTGAGCTTGGAACCACTCGTTTCCTCACTACTTCTTGTCTCACCTCCCTCATTTTTTTCTACCAAACACACCTGCATTCTGTTTTCTCTAGCAATTCAGGGGCTCTTTATCCACAAACTTCTTCTTAGTTTCTATATGATTGTGATTCTCTGTGCCTGAGGTATTTGTAGACACTATGACCATATATCACTAGGAAAAACATCCAACAAGCTAGAAAATAGATTGTTTGGTATTTTGCAGCCTGTGGTTTATAATTACAAGTCGAGTATCCCCAATCCAAAAATCTGAAATCCGAAATGCTCTCAAATCTGAACATTTTGGGGCACTGACTTTACACCACAAATGGGAAATCCCACACTTGATCCAAAGTGATGAGTAACAGTCAAAATGAAGGTGCACTAAAAACAGTACACAAGATTACCTTGAGTCTATGTGTGTAAGGTGCATATGAACCATAAAGAGATTGCATGTTTACACTTAGGTTTCATTCCCAACATGTTTCATTAGGTATATGTAAATATTCCAAAATCTGAAGAACTCACAAATGCTTCAGGTCCCACACAGTTTGGATATTCCTTATTAAATGAAAGTTGTATTAAATGAAAGTTGTTTTTCCGGTAGTGTTTGCATCTTGGTCGGCCTCCAAGTTAACTCTTCTCTAGGGTTAGCAGGTGGCCACTGATTTTTTTCCCACTGATCAACATCTAACATTTTACCCCATGTCTATTCTTCTTTTTTTTTTTTTCCCCACGGTGCTGGAGTTTGAACTCAGGGCCTCGTGCTTGTTAAACAGGTGCTCTACCACTTGAGTCATTCCAACAGCCCAATTTGTGTTGGGTATTTTTGAGATAGGTCTAACAAACTATTTTCCCTGGCTGACTTCAAACTGTGATCCTCCTGATGGCTGCCTCCTGAGTAGCTAGGATTACAGGTGTGAGCCACTGGCACCTGGCTCCATCTTTATCTTGCTTATCGGATCTTATTTGAGCTTGGAAGACTGGCTCCCACTTATTGAGTTCTGGCTGTGTGCTGGATTCTCTTCTTATGCAGGTTATTACATGTCATCCCATTATATAAGGAAACTAAAAATCCAATTGGTCAAGCAACTTGTGCTTGTGTAAGTGGCACATCTGGGATTCAGATTTCAGATCCTCCTGACTCTATAGTCCGTGCTCTTTGGAGATTTTTTTTTTTTTTTGCTTTTTGGAGTTTTAGAATCAAATATTTACTACAAATGGCAAAACAGTATTTTTTCAGAATTAGTGATGACTGATTAGGCAACTTCTTAACTCTTCCTGGGATAGGCCCAGTGAGAATTGGGCAGGGTTTCAGAGTGACTCTGATGTGGTCCCACTAGAGGATGTCGACACTAGAGAGTCAGGACACATGCCTGGATAAATGGACTTCACAGTTGATGGGTGTGTCCTTAGACTCAGCCCCAGGGTAGCCTTTGTCTCATTTCTTTCCTCAACCTTGGTCTTTGTTCTTCTGACTTCTGTAGTGCCTGTGTTGTACAAGATTCTATTCATGAAACAAGGCCTACTTCCCAGCCCCAGTGAGCTTACGACCTAATGAGAGAGATTAGTGATCCAAAAAATAACAATAAAAGATAGAGAGTACAAGAACTAACCACATATGTGAGGGAACTTGACCTCTAGGTCATGATAATAATAGACACCAGCTATCTTCCTGCTTTAAACAACTGTAAAATTGGAAGAAGATATATTTCAAATGGTGATTTCAGACATTGGACAACAGGCTTTCAGGATGGTGATTCCCTGAGAGAAGGAAACTAAACAAGTGACCCAACTCCAGGTCATCAGGCCACAGAGCAGGATGGGAAGTGCAGCAAGTCCTGGCATTCTTTCTAAATTGAGAGAATGAATACCAAGCTTGGGGACACCAAGATGGCTGGAATTTGCTGGGCAAAATACTGGAGAAGAGTGAGCTACACAGAGGAAGACCTCCAGAGATACGCAGAAGGATCCTCCAAGTCTGTGGCTGCTACTGATGTGTGCATACAGGAGAGGCCATGGAAAGA